CATTCCATCTCTGACATGCAGTTCAAATAAGAAGGGATACCCCATTTTTTGACTTAAAGTTTTCAAGTAAGATGAAAAATTTTAAATTTGGAATGACATTTTTTAAATTGAATTAAAATTTGAAATTCATAATGTAATTTTATTACAGAATGATTATTTAATTATGGAGAAATTTTCGATTGAACCCTCATCAAATATACATTTAATCTTGTTCCTTAAAATTCTCAAGATCAACCTCCCGAACAATTTTCCTCTCTCAAGCAAAGTCACTGCAGTGGGTTATTCGTTGGCGATTTATTTCTTTCATGTATTCACAATAAAAACAAATTAGACATTATAACGAGATTAACCATTTATTGACTGTTGCTTATTATTCATATTGTTCGACCTCCACTTTCAAATTCACATTTTCAGTGGTCATTAAACCTTTACTCGATAGAGTTTAAATGAAAAACGTGAAACATATATGTCTTTTGTGCGGGGTCATACAAACAGTGTGAAACGTTATTTTTATATTTTTCTGACATGTAAAAAGTACCATAACACTTTTTTGTCCAGTGTCAAACTTTTTATTTTTTCATTGTACATGTATGACTGAACAAGACTTTTATGTATTAAGAAACAATATCAAGTCGATCATTCCTTAGTTGGGGGTGAACTTAAAAATACGTCAAATATGACCTAATGGTTTTGTTTGTTATATTTTGTTGGTTGGATTAAACTTACCCTCATTTATTGACCTTCGATACTACACAAAAATATGAATTTATGTTAGTATTACTCGTTATGTTATTATTGTGAATAACAGTAGGGAGATTAAAAAAAAATAAAACGACGAAGAAAATTCGCAGTGTAACGATTATAGTCGACCAATGTAAAGTTACGTAGAAAGATTAATGCTCTGATCGATAACTTCTTATGGGATCGATCTGGGTATTGTCGCATGTATGTTTATGCTACAACGAACGGGAAACGCCCTCAACTTGTCCAACTACGACACGACATCCATAGCCGCCACATGCAGATCGAGAGTTCTAGAGCAATATGCCCCGTAAAGGTAGTGACAACTTCCTTAGGCTAGGCAAAGTTGTACCTCACGGAACCCCTATCATGTCGTGGAGGAACCATGAGAGGTGTAGTTGATACACTCGGTCGGAGTGACCCGTCTTCCCTTGGTGGATGAAAGCGAAGGGGAAAGGCAAAGCTAAAATACTTAAAACTTTTACCAAGTCATACATAACTCAACTGGGAAAACCCCCTGACATGATACAGTGAGCGGGGGACAATTCACTTGGCAATGCGATTGTGACCTATATTATAGAAAAATAAAATGAAGCTTTGCATAAAAATACCAGAAGTGGTTAACGGGGAACCTCACTGTCAGGCCCCGGGTAACGAGTCCAAAACTGAAATTATGGTCCAGGGTTTTTATGTTTTTTTTTAATTATTTTTTTTTGTCAATTCTTGTTTTGGTTCAAGGTTGCTGCGTACCAAATTTGATGTTATTTGAAGAATTGAAATTTCCTCTGTTAAGATTTATAAGATTCTCAATATTTCTGAAATTAAAATGTTGGTGAAATTGTATAAAAATACAAATTTGCCTTGTTGTTTTATATATTATTATTATTATTATTATTATTATTTTGCAGATAGTTAGTATGGTTTCTAGTCTATGAATTGGTGCTAAGTTTGATTAAAATAACATTTTGTCTTTTTATAAATGACATGGCAAGTGGTATGAAAATTAGGGCATCCGTTAACCTTCTCTAAAAAATATTGGCTTAGATACAAAAGTAGAGCTTTAAATTTAAAAAATGTTATTTGATATAACGGATATAGTTGCGAAATGATGATGATTACAAAATAAACATGTAAATGCAAGATGGAATAAAAGTATGTTGATGCATGTCGCAATTTTGTTTTTTAATATGATTGCAGTCATGCCGCAAGTTTCGAGGGTCGACCTACAACAACAAAATGGTCGGTGCCACAAACCAAGCGAAGGTCTGTGCTGTTTTCCATTTTTTTTTCTCCCGGCATGTAGTACATTTTGAGGCTCGATAAGTGAAGGGTGAAAGTTACTCGTTGTTAAGTGCAATATAATACATTCTTGTAACGTTTACTGGACGTGTTTGATGTGCGTTATAATTGATTTAGTTTGAAAGGTCATAATTGGAATAATCCCTGAAGCACTTTGTTAGAATGGGAAATAATAAGCATCATTTTTCTTGAAAGTTGTCCAATGTAGTCTTCTGCGAAGGGCATAGTATCCTTTATGGATATATTTTGCCACTATTGCTAACAGGTTCGGTACTTTATGCTCGAAACAAGTACCTGTGACCATACCCTTTTTCCCACTGTGGGACACACATATAGTTAAACTTGGCTGTTGGAGATTGACATTCAAAATAGCGGAGATGTAATTGGGGAATGCCCTAGTCCACTGCATAATTTGCAACCATTAAACCACCACTGTTTCCTAAATAGATACCGCTATTATTTGATGGGGGTGGGATAAGATGAAAAAGGGAGGCGCAACCATTAGCAAAATACCCGGCCTCTGTGTTAGCTGCCCCCCCACAGGTGGCCCGAACCCTGCACCCTAAACCACTAGAGCAAGCGACGACATGCATTCCTTTCATTATGAGAGGCAATAGCTATGCTTGCAGGGTGCCGTGTATAGCCTTAGGAGTAGTGGTAGGTAGGTAGTGAAAGGTGAATTTTAAAGAATTTAAGAGATGATGAAGAATTTCAGAGAAGAATATAGTGTAAGTTAAAAAGGAAAAAAAGTCACGGCCTTATGCATGAGGCAACTTTATGGGACAAACGGCCCTAGGGCACTGGCATAATTTGATTCAAGTGGAGACGTCGTGGCACTGTAGCAATGGTTGGCTGGTTTCGACATTGTAGCAAGAGTTGGTTGGTTGTGGCACTGTTGTAGTGGCTAGCATAACTAGGACATATTCAGAATGATGCTTTCCAAGATGCATCTGGTCACCTCCCAGATTGAGTCCAAAAATCACGAGTGAGTACACCTTAGGGGCAAACCCCACTAAATACCATCCATGTATTGGGTCTGGAATCCAACACTTGCCATTGGACATTGATGGTTAACATCAGCCCCGATCGTTATATTTTATACAAACATCAATAAACATAGTTTTGTGGGCCCTACATCCTTGCACCTTCTCACGGTAGGCGGGTGGTAGTTCGCAACCCTTAAGCTGCGGTATAGTGGGTTTCCGCGTCTGTGTCAAGGTGTCGCATTTTTGGCAATGAGCGACCAGGATGCAAAGTGGGTTCTTAGGGGGCAAAAAAATTTGGGGGATCAGTCCTTGACAAAATTGCGGACTACCTACAACTAACTCTCGTAGAACCGGGACTTTTGGAAAAACGAAGGACCGGTCCTCGGGCGGAAGTGGACCCCAAAAAGAAGTGGAGGGCGTTAGATCGGTCCTCGGGTAGAAGCGGACCCCAAAAAGAAGTGAGGGCATGTGAACTGGAAAAGGGCCCTCAGGCCCATGCATGAGCCCCGTGTTCTCAAAACAGGGAGGTCAGGCACAACGAAATAGGCGTTTTGCAAGAGGCAACTTTGACGATTTTCTGTGCTCGGGTGAACATGCACAAAAATATGAAATTTTGGGAATCCATAGATGAGGTCGTGTTCTTTCCATAAATAATAATAGAACATTTACAAAAAATCATTTAGACTGCGAAATAATTGTCGTGCCGATTCGGCACGTTTTTCATTTTTGCCACTCAGCCGTGCCGGGGCCAACTAAACAAGTACTCCAAATTCAGTGAGTTTTCACGCTCAGAAGAATGCGTGAAAAAACCTGAAAATTGAAGTACTTGTAGATTTTGTTGTGATATTTCCAAATAAAACGCTCAATAAATTTAAAAAAAATCATTCCAACTGTGAAATAGATCGCGGTCGCAATTTGACCCATACTTCAATTTTGCCATTCTCTCTCTCTCTCTCTCTCTCTCTCTCTCTCTCTCTCTCTCTCTCTCTCTCTCTCTCTCTGGTAGGCCGCCCCCCTCCATCTCTCTATCTTTCTTTCTCTCACTCTGTGTCTCTCTCTCACACTTATAATTTTCGGCGGCGGACGACCAGGACGCAAAGTGGGTTATTAAGGGGGGGGGAAATTTGGGGGGTCTGCGTCAAGGTGTCGCATTTTTGGCGGCGGGCGACTAGGACGCAAAGTGGGGTTGTTAAGGGGGGGGGAAATATGAGGGACCAGTCGTTGACGAAATTGCGGACTACCTACAACTAGCTCGGGTAGAACCGGGACTTTTGGAAAAGGAAGGACCGGTTCACGGGTGGAAGTGGACCCCAAGAAGTGAGGGGATGTGAACTGCAAAAGGGCCATCAGGGCTGCAGATCCAGAGACTACAACTAAAAGTGACATACCCAAGGGCCTGGTCCCATTTGCCTGGGTTCCTCGTTCCTTACCGTGGATCCCAAAAATCAACGGCCAAAGTGATGAAGCACTGTGATGTCAGTGGACCCTGGTCCCAAGTGCACACCTACACCTTCCCATTTGCCTGGGTTCTTCGTTTCTTACCGTGGATCCCGAAAATCAACGGCCAGAGTGACAAATCACTGTGAGTGGACCCTGGTCCCAAGTGCACACCTGCACCTAGATGTTGCAGGTTTGCAGAGGCCAACAGGTGCGTCCTAACCAAGTTAGGGAGGGACCCCACAGGCTGGCGGACTGGAAAGCGGGTTGGCGGAACTCGACGGCGGAAGGCCAGCGCGACCGGAGAGCGATCAAAAGATGGGACCCCATCGCCACTGCGAAAATGTGCTGCTGCAGGCCCTGCGGTTTCCCCAACAGGAAAGTCGACCCCGAGGTCTCCCGAATAGGAAAGCAGGTTCGTTTGGTTGTGTTCCTGGGTCCAGGGGCGAAGGCCCCCGGACCGTTCCTGCTGCTCCAATGTGTGACGGGTTGGGTGACGCTGCACTGTGAACGGCACAGGGTGCGCGACTGCGGGGTGTCCGAACGGCCACATTTTTAAAAGGGTCGCGGTTGCTGTCCCGCTGTGTTGTGACCGACTGTGCGATTTGTCGTTGACTATTCGTGTCAGCATCCGCTGTGCCATCGCCGAATCAAGGAAAAGGAGGTAGTGGTGTATTGGGGAAGACAGGGTAGTGACGGTGTGCTGTCTTGTGAAGAAGAGTCATGGACGAGCAGTGGGAAGATAGATTGTTGTTTGTCGTCGTGGCTGTCATGCAGTGGGTGAGTCGTCGTTATGTGGGCGTCATGGCCGTCCTTGACGCGGCTTCTCTATTGCCTGTGCGCGACAGCGAATTGGCGATGTCCATGACGATGCTGTGCGGCGTCATCTTCCACAACCTTTCCATGTTGTCCACGTTGGCGGCCGGTGTAGAGGATCGCATGCGGGGCAGGAGGAGACTGTGGGTGATTGAAAGGAGCGGCGGTGTGTGGGAGGACCTGCAGCTCAAAGGGGAGCGACATGAGAAGGTGTTCAGGAGATTCTTCAGGCTGCTACGTCCTGTGTTCAACGACATTCTGCAGCGTATCGGACCCTATATACAACGAGCAATAACGAATTGGAGGCAGCCGTTGCCAGCGGAGCAGAAGTTTTCTTGCGTGCTTATCAGGTGGGCAACAGGAGGGTTTTACAGACAGTCCGGTCATGGTCTGGGTATGGGACTCGTGAGTGCCCTGCGCAGCAACAAGGACGTCGTTGAGGCGATCATCAGGGAGTACGGACATGTCTTGTCTTTTCCGGAGGGGCGTCGCTTACAAGAGGTCATGGACGCCTTCGAACGCAAGGGTTTCCCTGGCTGTGTGGGTGCAGTCGATTGCATACATCTGTACATAGAGAAGCCGCGGAATGAACACGCTGCATGCTACTACGACCGGACAGGGCGGTTCTCTATTATCGCGAAGGTTATCTGCGATCACAAGTGCCGTATTCTTGTGTTTGTGGGTTGTCCCGGATCGTGCCATGACATTCGAGTCCTCAAACATTCGACACTCACCACCGACTACGACAAAGGGGTGGGTGTTCTGCACAGCACGCCAGCAACGCTTCGAGACGGGAGCAGCATTGACCGTTTTTTGTTGGGTGACGCAGGTTATCCGTTGTTGTCTTGGTTCATGACCCCACATCCTACCAACAGACCTCGCACTCCGGAACAGGTGGTATTCGACGACATGCATATGACAACGAGGAGCTGTATAGAACGCACGTTTGGGTTCATCAAACACATATGGAGGAATTTCGGGCGTCGCCACATCAGCAACCTGAAGACGATCTGTAAGGAGTTCATGGCATGTTGCATACTGCACAACATCCTGTTGGATTACAAGGTGGACATGAACGGTTTAGCCGGATGCGATAGCGACGATTCGGATGATGACTCCGATGAAGACTGTCCACAGCCTCCGCCCTACCAGCCACCCCTGTATGAAGGGGAAGCCATGTCGGAACACATAGGAAGCGTATAACTTGGAGGCGTCGAAGGCCATCAGGAGAAGGCTTTTTCGCCATGTCACCCATCATGCGAGAGTGCACGGCCCCCCGGATCCAAGTCCATGGTTGTGACGCCATCTTCGTACATGGGCACATACATAGATAGATTGGAAGATTGATAGGTAGGCAGTAGCGGTGAAATAGAAAGGTCCCTCCGAGTCGTAGTTGGTTGTGGAGCAGTTCCACATCGTTATTCGTTGTTCTGTGTAACGTGAGCGATAATTTGTCGTCGTTCATTCGTTTTGTCTACAAGAATCCCATGTTTCCGACGTTATCAACTTCGTTCTGTTCTTCTTCGCTTTCGTGTGCACAAACCTAACTTTTCGTATGCCCGTGTCATGAAGCAACACATTGTGCAAACTTCGCAATAGTGATCTGTGCATGGAGTGAGTTTTGTTGAACACATACATGGACAACGACAACCGAATCTCCGCCCAAAACATCAGAGGGTTTTGAAAGCAATGGGGAAACATACAGAAAGTAAAATTTTAGAACATGCAAGGTGAGAGATAAATACACAAACCAAAACTTGGACACATTCCTAGACCTGTCTCTTATACACATCTAGATGTGTATAAGAGACAGCATACATGGACAACGACAACCGAATCTCCGCCCAAAACATCAGAGGGTTTTGAAAGCAATGGGGAAACATACAGAAAGTAAAATTTTAGAACATGCAAGGTGAGAGATAAATACACAAACCAAAACTTGGACACATACATGGACAACGAATACCGAATCTCCGCAGAAAACATCAGGGGTTTTGAAAGCGATGGGGAAACATATACAAAGGAAAATTTGAAAAACATGCAAGGTGAGAGATAAATACACAAACCAAACCTTCAATACATATATGGACAACGGAAACCGAATCTCCGCACAAAAGATCTTCTATTCCAAAACGACCTCATATCATCCAGAGCACGTGTTCTTCGAAAAGCAAACATCTCACAATCATGAAGATAAGAACATGAGATCGGACACGATGGCGGGCACAAGGTCGTTGTGGAGATTCGGCCTCCATACACCATGATCTCTCTCTCTCTCTCTCTCTCTCTCTCTCTCTCTCTCTCTCTCTCTCTCTCTCTCTCTCTCCCAAAAGAGATATCGCACGGAAACCGAACACACGACGTTGATGACAACGAAAACATGTCATCTCGCACAACGGCGGGCAGAGGGTCGTCGGAACTTCACCATCAGAAGAGCATGAGTTGCCATCCCCTAATCTCTCTCTCTCTCTCTCTCTCTCTCTCTCTCTCTCTCTCTAGATCTCGCACACAGACGAAGCGAGTTTCTCTTCGTATGTTTGGCAGTCCTCCAATTGTCAGTGTCGCCAACGACGGAGCAAGCGATCGTCGTCCTCCGGACCCCAGACCTAAACTTCGTCGTGCAGGTACGGCGTTCCCTGCAGAGGTGCATCGAGGATGGCCCTATACCAAGGGCTGTCATCCATCCTCCCATCATGCTCGGTGGCTATGGCGGACACGAGATGATGCAGAATGTCCCCCACCACGTCTCTTTCGTTTGGCACGCGCCTGTCGGGGACGATGGGATGAGTCTTCGTCGCGAGCAGCCGAAGTTCGCACAGTCGGCCATGGCCATCGGAACCTAGGGCAGCCATGACGTCCATCGCATGCCGTGAACCGGCAAGGACGACATAGAAGCGGACATCGACTTCGACCACTTCCGCTCCGAAATCCAGCTCCCGATCATGACGCCCGTCTCTCCTTGACGGCGTCTCGTTGATGTTCACTTCACGACCGCCAACCCACTCCCTCACCACATTGATGACGTCCATCTCTCTCTCTCTCTCTCTCTCTCTCTCTCTCTCTCTCTCTCTCTCTCTCTCTCTCT